TATATATAGTTAATGAAAAACGCCACATCTTCCTCTATCTGATACATAATAAGGAAAAACAGAGATTTTCATTTCAAAACTATATATATGTTTTATAAAAAAACTATATATATATATATATATATATATGTATGTATTTCAGTATATATGAGTGTGTGCGCATGTATGAGCATTACCATGCATGATTTCATTTCATTTATACAAATATATAAAAGGAAAAATTACAAAAGGGTACATAGGGATCTATATATAATGATAAATTCAGTGATATATGATATCCAACAAGGTTCAATTAGTTCTTTGGATATATATATATACATATGTGTATATATATAAACATTTGTGGTGTTGTGTACAGTTATATATTTTGGCTGGTCGGTTACTAACCGCAGTAGTCATGATATTAGGATACTATATCTTCCACAATAAAGTATATGTAATGTGTGTATATATATATATATATGTCAAAAACATATAAGAAATGAATACACATGTTGTATTGCATTATCTAAGCTGCAAGATTACAATTATCAAATACTTTTGTCACAACCTTGATAATCGCTTCACCCAATTGCAGAAAATGGGCTCCACTCTCCAACCTTCTCCTCCTCTATATATTTCTCTCTTCACACTCCAATTCCATCAAACCTTCTTCTTCTTCTTCAATTCTTTCTCTCATAAACCCTAACTTGTTGCCCAAGCTACGGTGATATGCAGCCGGCAACAGACGTTTTCAGCCTCAGTAATTACATAATCTCTTCAAACCCGTCTCCATATCCCTCTCATTTCACTATACCTTCATCATTTGACCTCAATGGACAAATACCGAATCCGTTCCACGGCTTCCAGACAACTACTGCTGCACAGTCCGTGAGCTTCAGCAGCAACAATTCGACATCAGACGAAGCAGAAGAGCAGCAAATAAACATAATCAACGAGAGGAAACAGAGGAGAAAGATATCGAACAGAGAATCCGCGAGAAGGTCACGTATGAGGAAGCAAAGACACCTCGACGAGCTCTTGTCACAGGTTATGTACCTCATGAATCAGAATCACCAGTTGTTGGAAAAGCTTAACCATGCGTCGGAGTCTCATGAGAAGGTTCTTCAGGAGAACGCTCGGCTTAAAGAAGAAGCAACCGAACTCAGGCAAATGATCACTGACATGCAGATTCGGAGTCCCTTCTCTTGTTTTGGAGACGATTTCAGAGCTGAATCTCCATAGAATATATATATATATAAAACATTTTTTCCGGTGCCCATTTCACGTACTAGTGTTGCCAAGCAGTAGAGGCTTAGCTTTCTGCTTATATGATTATATATATATGTTCATCTAGTATTATAGATCAAGGGATCGTTACCTTGTTTTATAAGGCGTTATAAGTCTAAAAACAGAGTTTCTCTAATGCTATATATATATATATATGATCATTTCCCACGCTTTTCACTTGCGAAAACACCGACGAAACGAATATTTACGTGGGTTTATCGTTGCTAAAGAATCAAAAGATCATGGCCGGTGCAAATGCCGGTTTAACAAGTCTGAATATCTGAGAAACTAAGCATATGTTACTGTTATGAACAAACATGTAAGTGGTGTTTGTCAAAATCATGCGGGAGATGGGGACAGAATAATGTGGGGGTGTGTTTTTTCCTCCTTATTACAGGAATTTCCAACTAAAGGGAACAAAAAACACAACATATGCTTCATGTTGTCATCTTTGTTCGTGTTTTTTTTAGTAAACCTTGAAGGTGATTAGTGTTCATCAATGATCATCTGTCTGAAGTTTTCTGATTTTGATCATGGAAGACATTAGTAGAAAGTTGAATCAGCAAGTTGCAGGCCCATTAATTGTGGAATTATTGAACCATTTTTTGGTTAGGAGAACGTTATCAGAGTATTATTATGCATGGACTTGAAATATTTTTGAAGTTTTATGGTCGATTTCGATTACGAATTATACGGGTGCTGATCTCTATTTGCAAATATACTATCAAACGCTAATCTTACAACTTGAGAGTTGCTCAGATTTGGAATGTTATATATATATATATGTATATATATATATATATATTGGTTAGTTTGTAGTATTTTATGTTGCCCTAATCTTAAAGTTACTGTAGTGTCTATAGCTAAAAGCATTATTAATGCAAGACGACGTATCGTTGCATCTATGAGCTAACATTGTGTAAGCCGACAATTTCACTCGAGAATTTCCTCTCTTATACATCGATACATACTGCTCAAACTATAAGAAAACATATGGATATATATATATATATATATATATACACACAAGCACGAAAACGATCATTGAACGACAGAAAGGAGAAAAAGAAATTGCGAAAGATCCAAGGAATTTGCTTGAGTGACAAATCGTAGTATACGTAAGGTACAAGATTCGAGATCAATCGGGCGAATAGCTTCTGAAACCTGAAAAGCATATAGCTTTATAACCATGTGAATGTTATCACAAAAGGAAACCGAGCGTAAAGAATATAATGATGACTAAACTGCAAGATCATAACTTCTTCAATCAGTATAAAGAATTCTATATACTTGAAACCCAAAGGGTTGCATACCATAATCAAGAAGCTGCAACTCTCCACGTTACTCGATCTCTCTTTTCTTGACAATATCCGACCCGACGGCATATCTTTCATACGAAACCCTCTCACGAATGCCGGTCAGTTTGGGGGAAGAAAACACACAAGCTCTTTTCCTTTTCCCTTGTCCCTGTCGTCGTGTCCAGAGATTCCTTATCAAAGACTTAGGTACCAAGAAAACCGAACCGCTTGAGACACACAAACGTGGGCACGAGCCGAGAACTCTTCTTCTTCTTTTCGATCGATAAAATCGCCTTTTGCTCGTTGAAAGATTGCAAAAAAAAAAAAGAAATGTAAGTGGAAGACTGAAGAGACGTCGAAATGGCCTGTGATTGAACAGAAAAATACAAAGACATCAGAGCTTTTGTGCAACCACCAACAAAGTCATGGGATAAAAGAAAAAACACCTTACTACTTGAAACCACTGAGGAGAATATATAAAGGGCCTCTCCAAGAGTTCATGACTTAGTTTTTTTTTTCTTGGGTTTGTGTATGTCACTATAGAAGCACTTTGGTCCCATCTTTGAATGTTTCTTCTTTTTCTCCCAACAACAGTGGAAGTTCTTTCTCCTTTCTGCTCCTTCACCTTGCGTACGTACGTACACCATACAGATCCATCTCTCTCTATATATGTATACATATATGTGTGTGCATACGTACAATTCGAGGGTATTGAAGGTGACATATGTATAGTTTTTCTTCTTCCCTTCGTTTCCTTGCCGTTATCGGTGTTTCCTTCTTTGGAAAGTTGTTATCTTTTGGTAAAAACATTAGAAAATCCGTGGACTTTATCGTCCATTTTCTAGAGGGTGGATTCAATAATGCTTGGGAAAAGCAATATCTTCTTTGCATGAGGGATGTATGCTTTAATTCCATATATATATATATATATACACACACACACTAATGATATGTTTTATTCGTGAAATGTACATTGGGTTCTAATTATAATCATTAAATTCATTTTTTTTTGTATACAACTTTATTATATTTGTGTGATTTTGCAACTTTACATGTTTTGTGGTCGTTCACCGATTAGTTCCTTAGTGTGAATGATTTTCCAGCCGGTCGAATCCAATTCCGGTGAATAAATTAACGATCATATATACGTTGACCAGTCATTATTGACTGAAATTATTATTACTATTTTTGGTTATCCTTTCTATATTTATGTATCTCGTACGAGTAATGCCTCTGGCTGAGTCGGAGGGTCCGTCCTCTTCCTATTTTTGTTTTATGTTTTATTTAATATAAACATGAATCCAAAATTTCGTGTGGTCCGAGTTTTGTGTATAAACAGTGAATGCGATCAGTTCCACGCGCCTGTTCGGATCCGTTCCGTACCGATGGTTTAACAAGATAACCGGACTAATTGTAAATTGTAATACCCCTTTTTGGTGGATTCTCCAACACACATATATATATATATATATATATATGGTCCTTTTGTGAAAAGTATATAAGTATTAGGCTCAACTAGATGGGCCTGAATTTGGGCTACCTTTATAACTACTTCTTCCTAATTGGGCTTTTCTAATAAGCCCGTTTCAAAACATTCAGGCGGCCGAGAGGAATTGTCGTTTTTATTCCCGTTATTGGTCTATTTTCGTGTAAATTTCACAAAATACACCGTAAAATCAATTATAAGTCAATGAAATTTTTAGGAATCTGTAAACTATGATGCCATATCTCGTTTTCTCTTTTTCTTGGATTGCGATTGGAATCTGTTTGGTTCCCGGGAAAATTGTGCCGAGTAAAACGTAGGAGGGAAAGGGGAACTAGCAACGTCAGCGAAAATGCTCAATTTTTCAATTTTTTTTTTTAAATCTTATTAATAAAATATTAGTTAGATTCATGGATCCATTCTATTTTATTTTATCAAATCTAGAAATGGACACGAGCACGTGGGGACAGACGATATGTTTGCCTTCGAACACTTCACGTCCCATGTGTTTTTCCAAGTTATCCAGCTGCTCCTTTTTTTTTTTTTTCTTTTTAATTATCCAATCAAAAAATATTTGTCAATATTTATATACAATGTATCATTATTATTTTTCTCACCTTTTTTACCTTTATTATTTTTTTCCTTCATTGGTATTATGATAAATGTCTTGAATTTAGATCTTGGCAATCCAAATCATGGACAGCAAAATAATACATTAAAAACATTTAGTTGGCTGTAAAAAATATATTAACACAGATTTTTTTACAAGAAAATTTTCTTGTTTACCTTAAAAATTGGATACTTTCTCATTTTCCTCAAATTCAAGTTTTCTATATTATTAACTTAAATTATAATAAATAGGAGGACGAATATGAAAAAAAAAAAAAGAGTAAGAAAAGAAAGAAATGGGGGTGTAATGTTTTCCATTTTTAAAGCTATATTCCATTATTTTCCGAATAATACGAAAATACCGGAAAAACCCTTACCACCTCATCAAATTCACCACTGGGCCCACTGCAAAGCACCTTTTACCAACCATGGGCATTTTCGACTGACGAATATAAAATGCCACGCCACCGTAGTCGAAACAGATGTAAATCCAAACCATACGAAACGTAAAATACCAGATATACCCTTTGGATCAGAACCTTGAACTCTTAAAGCGAGTCCACTAAGACGGTGGTGCATCTGTAAATAAAGAGAATATTTGGGATCATAATATAAAAGTGAGAAGGAAATAAAATGCTAGAAAGTGAGCGATCCCTTTGTGTGGCCAGAGAGAGGGACTGTTTGGAGACGTTATCGGACTCGAAACCTTTCTCTGCCGGAATTTAGGAACTCCGTTCACGTCCGGAGCGATCAGCCGTCTCTTTTTTGTTACCGTTGTTCTTCTCTTTCGAAGTTTCTCAGAGTGAAGTGCGAAGTTTAGAGCGAATTTTGGTTCTTTCTTGGTTCTGGTATAGAATTGTTCAATTCCGGACTTAGGGTCACTCGCCATGCTTCTTTGAGGGAAATTAGGGTTTTTCCGGCGTTTTCTCTTTTTTGTGTTCGACTTGGAGACTGGAGTTTCTTGGTTTCCGGGAAATTGAAGGTGAGTTTTAGCGTGATGTTCACGCCTCCGAAGGTTTGGCAACGGTGGTCTCTTACACCCCACAGGAAAGGAGGGACGGGATCAGGATCGGGTACGGGTCAGGGTCCGGATTTTGACGGGCCGAATCCGGGAGAAGACGGGACGACTGTGAACGGGAAAGATAGCTCTTCTTCGGACATGGAGACTCCGGTTCCGGGTCGTGTCGGCGAAAATGGGATCCGATACGACGGGACGGGGACGCTGGTGGAGAAAGTTTCTCAGCTCGAAAAAGAGGTGGGTTCTCGAATTGCTGTGATCTTGTTTTGTTAGTTTTTATTGGGCTTTTACTTTTTTATGTAATGTCTCTTTGCTGTGTTACAGTTGGGACATTGAATATATCATGTTGAACGTTTCTTGTACATACTACAGTTTTAATATTCTTGTTTTTGAAACGAAAGCTAATATGGTGACAATTGATGATCTTAATGATTGTGCTTGATTGAACAGCTCTTTGAATACCAATACAATATGGGTCTTCTGCTGATCGAGAAAAAGGACTGGACTTCAAAATTTGAAGAACTCAAGCAGGAACTTGAAGAGGCAAAAGAGTGCCTTCAACGTGAGCGCACAGCACATTTGATTGCTATGTCAGATGTTGAGAAACGGGAAGAGAGCTTGAAGAAAGCCTTGGGGATTGAGAAACAATGTGTGCTCGATGTAAGCGTTTTGCTTTTGTCTGCTATTCCCTTTGAAGAATTTAATAGTTGCGAATGTGCATCATGTTTCGTAGAAATTATAGCATTCACATTTTTATTTAATGATCGTTGATTCTAGTTGTTTGCAGTGGGAACGAATTTGTTGCACATGTATATGCTCATAACGCTTTGATAATCGATGCAGCTTGAGAAGGCTCTCCATGAGCTACGCTCTGAAAATGCTGAGATTAAATTTACAGCAGATTCAAAGTTGGCTGAGGCAAATGCATTGGTTAGAAGTGTTGAAGAAAAATCTCTTGAGGTCGAGGCGAAGTTGCGTGCTACTGATGCTAAGCTTGCTGAGGTTAGTAGAAAAATTTCAGAGGTCGAGAGGAAATCAAAGGAACTGGAATCTCGAGAAAGTTCTCTCCAGAGGGAGCGGTTATCGTACATTGCCGAGTACGTACTCGACTTCCAAGCTCTGTCTTCGTAGTGTTGAATACCTTTATTATGCCTCCTTGTTTGTAGTGATCTTTGTCAGTAGCACATTTTTGGTTGTATAAAAGTTTTTTTTGCTCTTCTTCTTAGACGAGAAGCACGGGAGGCATCTTTGTCGAAGCAGAGGGAAGACTTGCATGAATGGGAGCGGAAGTTGCAAGAAGATGAAGAAAGAGTTGCTAAAGTTCAAATGATTGTCAAACAAAGGGAGGAGAGGGCTAACGAGAATGATAAGATCATCAAGCAAAAGGAAAAAGAACTGGAAGAGCGCCAAAAGAAGATTGATGCTGCTAACCTTGCTTTGAAGAAGAAGGAAGATGACCTAATCTCTAGGCAGAAAAATCTTGCTTTCAGGGAGCAGGTAAGCATTTCTTGTGTTATACAACAGCGTATCATTTTAAATCTCTTATGTCACAAATCTGTATAGTATTTTTTACTTGTCTCACTTATATGCTTCCTCGTAATGTAGGAATCTGATGCCTTGAGGAAATCCTTAGAGACAAAAGAGCAAGGGCTATTTGCTCTGCAGGAGAAACTTGATGCCAGAGAGAAGGCAAGTGCTCTCTCTCTCTCTCTCCTCCCTTTTTCTGGATATATTCTGATGTGAAAGAGTTTTAAAACTGTGATACATAGTTGTTAGAATTGTCTTTGGTGTATTATAGTAAAATGGAATGTGAAGCCATTGTCTGTTCTGTTGTAACCTATTGTACTGCTTTTTATTGGGTCATTACAGTGGAGGTGTAACCTTTTTCTTGTCTGGTAGCCTACTTTATTGCGCGTTCTTGGTTTAGTTCCCTGGGCAGGAAAAGTGGGATTTCCCCATTTTTTTTTGCTTGTTTTTGGTACCCATATTCGATTTTTTCTATTGTTTTACAAACTGTTCGTTCTGTAAGAATAATTATGTTTTCATGCAGAGGATTAGTGATTCCCACTGCTGTGATTACCACCCTTATTCTCACATTTCTCCTTTATGGAATCTTGACTGTGGTAGTTCTTTAATGTTCAATGATTGACAGGCGGCAGTCCAGCAACTTGTTGATGAACATCAAGCTAAACTAGAGGCAAAACAACATGAATTTGAAGTGGAAATGGAAGAGAAAAAGAAATCTGTGGATGACAGCTTGAGGATCAAGGTTGTGGAGGTGCAGAAGAGGGAAGCTGAGTTGCACCACATGGAGGAAAAAGTCGCAAGACGGGAACAGACCGTAGATAAAAAACTGGATAAGGTCAAAGAGAAAGAGAAAGATTTTGTATCAAGATTGAAAGGCCTTGCCGACAGAGAGAAGGCGTTTAAAATCGAGGAAAATGCGTTAGAAAAGGAGAAGACAAAACTGCTCGAGGAAAAGGAAAATCTTCTCAACCTCAAAGCGGAAGTTGAGAAGATAAGGGCTGAAAATGAAGCACATCTGGTAAAAATACATGAAGGGAAGGAGGAGCTTAGAGTTACCGAGGAGGAGAGATCCGAGTATCTTCGCCTGCAATCTGAACTGAAGGAGCAGATAGAAAAGTGTAGGTCTCAGCAAGGCTTGCTTTTGAAGGAGACTGATGATCTGAAGGCACAAAAGGAAACTTTTGAGAAAGAATGGGAAGAACTTGATGTAAGAAAAGCTGAGATCGAGAAAGAATTGAAGAATATTAACGATCAGAAGGAAAAATTTGATAAGTATGGACAGACAGAAGAAGAAAGGTTGAGAAAAGAAAAGCAAGCAGCAGAAGACTCCATAAAAAGGGAGCTTGAAGCTCTTGAAGCAGCAAAAGATTTGTTTGCAGCGACTATGGAGCATGAGCGTTCAATGATCACTGAGAAAGCTGAGAGTGAAAGAAGCCAATTGCTTCATGATTTTGAGATGCGTAAAAGGTCACTCGAGACTGATATGAATATTAAGCTGGAAGAAAGAGAGAGAGAGATGCAAGCGAAGGAAAAGTTATTTGAGGAAGAGAAGGAAAGAGAATTGAGCAATATCAATCATTTAAGAGAAGTAGCGAGAAGAGAACTCGGGGAAATTAAGATGGAAAGACTTAGGATAGAGAAAGAGAAGGTAGAAGTTGATTCCAGTAAAAAGCATCTTGAAGAGCAACAGGTTGAAATCCGAAAAGATGTGGAAGACCTTGTTGCCTTAACCAAGAAACTGAAAGAACAGAGGGAACAATTAATTAATGAGAGGAATCGGTTTCTTTCATTTGTTGACAATCACAGGAACTGCAAGCAGTGTGGGGAAATGTTGTGGGAGCCTGTTCTTCCGGACATTAATAGCTTGGAGATCCCCGATTTACCAAGATTGGCCAACAATCTTGACAATGAAGCACCCAGCCGACAAATAAGGGATATATCCCCTGCTGTTGCTGGATTAGGATCTCCAGTCAGTGGGTCGGTGTCATGGTTCAGGAGATGTACTTCGAAGATTCTGAAATTGTCACCAATTAAAAGGATTGAAATATATGCTCCCCAGGATTTGGCAGATAACGTGCCTAAATCTAGTGAGGAAGGTAATATGGAAACTAGGCCATCAAACATTCCTCAGGCAGTGGCAGTCCGATCTGATACTGGCACAAGAGAACTTGAAGTGATTAATGATCACTCGGACAATGATCAGAGCAACATTGACAATAAGGTTCACGAAGTTGCTGAAGATCTTAATGTTGATGGTCAGCCTCGCAGGAGGGGAAAGACGGGAGTCAGAAGAAGACGCTCTGTCAAGGCTGTTGTTGAAGATGCCAGAGCTATCTTGGGTAAATCTCTGGAGTTCAATGAGCCCGAGGATTCCAATGCTAATGGTGAGGACTCTGCTAAAGCAAATGAGGAATGCACAAGCGGGCATGGTCAAACTAGTAGAGGAACTTCAAGGAATGGACGGAAACGAAACCGTACTGATTCGCAAAAAGGTTGTGAGGATGGTAATGAGAGTGATGGAAATTCTGAAAGTGTCACAGCAGGAGCAGATCAACATGGGAAGAGGCGGCACAAGGCTATCACAGAAACTCAAGGTGTTGTTGAGCAACGTTATAATCTCCGGAGACCTCGAAGGTGAGTATACATTTCATTATCAATCTCAAGACTGTTAAGATCAGAGTAATAACTGAGTTTTGGGTGGAAGAACATTGTTTCAATGAGTTTGTTAGTGGAAGCTTTTTTACCCCTTAGAACCCAATGGGTAAAAGAGCTTTCTTGCCTATATAGCCACTGGTGTATACAAACTTATGCCTATTACTATTGTAGGTACTAAACTCTAGTTGAGTTTTTAGATTATTTAACCAAAACCAAGGAGAGATCGGGGTCTTGAAGTCTATCAACACCCATCAACAATTGTAAACCGTAGGGTCCTTGATAATGAATTGTTTAGACGGCCGTTTTTGTTTGGAATTTGACGTTTATCTGCCTTGTTAACCTATTGTCTCTGGCTGAGGAATATGCCCCCTTAAACTGTAATTTTACGTGGAAAGGTGGCTTCCATGGTTCTTGTTGGAGAAAGATGGGGAAACACTTACTTCGAATGTCATAGAAAACTAAGCAATACTCAACTCCGTTTCATGATGGATAATTCGTAGTTATATTAGGAATAAGTCTAGGAGAGTTTTAGGCAATTTCATCATACTTTTTCCGGAACTATTATTATCAGGGGAGCTGGAGGAAGCAGTCTGAGCAAGGAGAATGAAGAGACTACTGGCGTTAGAAGAGAAGGAGAGATTTTCTGTGCCCAAACCACAGCTGCAGCATCAGTAGGAGTCGCTGTTGGTGAGGATGGAGGGAGCACAAAGCTAGTGCAGGTAAGAGTCACATTGGGATTTTTTTTTTCTGCCTTTCCAATTTGATTGCTTACATCATCAGAGCGAAACCATCGTTTCTACTCTTGGCAAGTCTTTCAGATTGCAAACTTTTCTTGAACTGAAGATCTATCTGTTGTACGGATGTTTCTTTTTTTTTTTGCTTGTTGTAGTGCGGAGAAATAGCAAACTCTCAGGATACAGATGCTGGTTCTCCGGAAAGGACGGAGGAGGGCGAGGAAGTGAATGGGACACCTGAAAGGGTTGACTCCGAAACCGAAGAAGAGGAAGACGAAGAAGAGCATCCAGGTGAAGTCTCGATAGGGAAGAAGGTGTGGACTTTCTTGACGACTTGATAACAATGGCTGCGTGCCGTTCATGGTCATGGATGTGATTTGGTGGATGATTATGTCAGTAGTGTTACTTTTGGTAATCTCTCTTTAGTTTTTGTGTGTTTTTTTTAGGTGGGGTTGTTTGCGTATCAACAGATTCGACAAGCGGTTTATGTAATTTTCTGGGGTTTTTTTTATATCATTGTGTTAATTTGGGGTTCTTCAGAATTCTCATTCTTTTTACATAAAAGCCCTTTTAATTGTTTGTTGTTTTATTACCCTTTACTTTTTCTGGTTTCATGTTAAGTGTTGTTAGTTCATTGTGTTGGTGTGCAACTGTCAAACCCTGTTCTGAGATTTGGTATTTAGGTAACCACAACTCTCTTTGCGCATTTAGGGTTAACAAATTTAGGGATGTAAATCGGTTCGAGAGTTGGAAGACTTTGAATTAAGTTCGGTTCGGTTTATTTTTAAACCGAGTTGAAGTTACACTCTAGTTTGGTTTATATAATTTGTTAACCAAACGAGTCGGTTTAACCAAAACTCAGATTAAATTAAAAAACATAAAACTCTGAAAATTCCTCGTACTAAAAACCAATGCCCTTCATGTTACAACAAGAAAGTAAGAAAGAACAAGTTCACATGAACATGTACAAATCTCTCTCGTTCATCTTCTATCATCCCTATCCCTGAAATCACGACCGTACGAAGAATGGTACCTCTTACCTCTTTCCAAGCCAGGGCTTCTTCTTGGTCTCCTGATGTTATCCGACCTTTCAAAGCCAGAGCTTCTTGCTCTGGGCATGTGTTTTCTTACACCTCGATGATGATCCTCACCATATCTATTGCCATACCTTGGAGGGTAACTCGATGGTTCAACCCCAGGAGGACCCTCGTCTATGTGATCCCGGGCCAGGGCTGGTCGGTGGTGGTCATGACAGGCATCATATCCTCTGCCTGTTTTGTGTTGCGACCTTGTGCTGCTCCTATGTGCCCAGAGCCGCTCATCTGCGCTTTCCGGGATAGGTGCGTTGATTCCCGGAAACTCGACCGTCACTTTCTTAGCTGGCTCTTGGGGGCTCGTTTTTTCTGCGATTTCCCCGTCCTCGGACTCTTCTACACGCGTCTCTTCCTCCCCAAAAATAGTGATTCCTGAAGGATGATCATCATCCGGTGCTAAAAGACACCAACAGAATGCAAGCACAACAAAGGCAACGTGACCAGAGTTTTAGGATACGAACAGTTGGCCTAAAAAGAGGGAACAAGACTGGTGAGATAAGAATACAGATTAGAACAGCTCACCTAAGTATCCTGGTGGGTACCCAAGCTCTCTCATCCGGTTAAGCCATGGAGGAGGGTCGAGTTCCTGCACAAGACAAAAAGCTTAATCCGGATACTGGTTCCTCTTGTTGCGAAAAAAAAAAAGATCTGGAAGACTTTCACGGGTTCTCCTGGATACAGTCGTGGGAGATTTTGAATAGCAGAAAGTTACCCCGAGATCAAGAAGCTGGCGTGTCTCCGTGTCAAGACTGCCTGGCTTTAAGCCGTCATACTTTCCACCTTGAGAGCTCTGATAATATCGGGATGGTAGACGAGACCTAGAACCCATGTTCTTTTTGGCTTTATGCTGCTTTCGGGCACTACTAACTGCTGATCGGTCAAGAGGCTTTGAGCATTCTCTCAAGGAATGACTGTAGGAGCCACAATTAAAGCAACGAGGAGGATCGTCCATAATCTCCAAACCTCTAGAAAATTTGACAAAATAAAACTTTATCATGATAAACCCAATGTGACGTGATGAGACCACTCCAGAACTCTATCGAGACACAACTTGACAAACTATCAGCAGCAAATTAATTTACTACGCACATAGCAACAGATAATATTCATTCACCAGTAAATGTTCAAACACGATGTGAAAGATTAATCTTTTGGAAACTGATTTGAGAAAGAAACAGGTTATAAATCAAAGTTCCATTTACCCTTCCAAGTTATTTGATCCATCCGCTGAAGTCAAACCTATGGCAAATCCACGGTCATAAAGAGGAGCAGTGCTATTTTCCACCGGAACAAACCCCTTTAATGCCTTACAACCAGTTTCATCATCGATCCAGAAGGACTGCATGCGCAGCAATGAATCAAGTAAAGCATCAGTAAAGATCACGAAGGATGTGACCCAATAGAATAAGTGTGGAAACCACAAAAACTCGAAAGATAAAACAATTAGGAGAAGGTGCTTCTTGAAGTATCGGAAAAGTCAGAGATTGCAATTGATCGTATACTCAACTCTCACACTCAAATGACAAATTCAATGGCTAGAAGAAAAAAACGAAAAGAAATATACAACGGAGGAAATATCATAGATCACAGTCTAAGAGAGCAGGAGTTTCAAATTTTGAGTAATGCTGTAACAAGAAGCATACTTATGCGTCGACAATTTGGCCTATTAAAAATTTAACTTCGCATCGCGTGTGTAAAAGAAGAGATAGAACCCATGTAAAGTGCAGAAGGAAATATATTTTCAGGTCCTATGAAGAAATTTTAAGATAGGATAAGGAAATTTCTAAGATATTTACACTCACCACAGAAGAGGACTTCTCCAGTCCAACACGTAAAGCAGGAAAGTATGTTGCCTCACCTGATTCTAGTACACGTTCTTGATCCTGAGCAGAGTAGTATTTACAATTCGGAGATTCCGGCTTAAGTTGTATACATTACAATGTCATAATGCTATTAGGAATGTTAGAAGATAATAAAATGAGCTACACCAATCAGAGGTACCTTAGCTGTGGGATTATGTTCTGCCTCCCATTCTGACCATTGCTGTAACAGACTTTCCAGCATCTGTTTACTAGCCCTAAAAGAAGTAGTTAATCAAACAAGAAAGAAAAAAAAGAACAGTGAGGAATATGGAGAATGGCAACAATGCCAACACCTTGATATATAGTAGTTTTATAAGTATAAATCAATCGAGCAACTTTAGTATAATTGAAGTTGAGAGTTAATACTTTTATTTTCACCTAACCTCGTTAAGTGGTTATAAGTAACATGAATGGTAGATTGCTGTTCGTCTGAGACAGTGCGGCGTCTTTTAACACCAGATTTAGCTGACTTATGGAATTATGGGAAAACAAAAATAACGATAGACATTGGACCCTTAAATTACAACTAATAATAGAAACAGACAACATCCATATTAATCACAAGAACTCTGAAGTAATTCACTTGGAGCTGAGGTTCAGACAGACAAGCAAGCTAAACAAGGATACGACTAACGTCCAATGTGGTGCTGTCAATCAACCTCTCATTCCTGATATCCAACTTCTTATCTATAACCGCTACAGTTTCGACACTCACATGGACAGCAGCTGAATCACCGAGAACGTTACTAACCTGCTCCGCTACTGTTGCCCCAGCTAACTCGTCACGCACAGTTCTAAAACCATCTACCGTTAGGTCCATGTCTTTCTCCATGTCTAAATTTCTTTCTCCCATCTCTTCATTATCATCTAAAGAATTGGCCTTAGGTGACCCATTCCCAGAATCAAGATGATCATTTTTCGGCCTTTCGGAATCAGAATCAGTTGAAGGTGGGAGGCCAATCACGCCCTTGGCTTCCATATCCAAAGAAAATACACGCTACCTTGACAATTGAACTGATACTGATCACCAGAAAAAGAAGACCCAATATCAGGAAAAAGGGCATCATCACAAAAAAAAAAAAACGAATTCCCAATTCGGACAGATCAAGCCCTTGGCACAAAGGGTCAGCTCTAGTTTATCCTCAGCTAATTTTATGCTTCTCAAGTCAATTCGAAATGAGTATGTTAGGAAGCGAATTGACAATTCAAAGCAACAGAAGTCAAAATATTTCATTTCACAGTGACAGTAGGGTCAGAAATCAATTCATTTTCCGGCGACTTCTGAAACGCAAGGGCTCGGGTTGCAGAACTGAATCTCCTCAATTTGAAACACAAATCCAAAATTCAAAAGTAAAAAAGACTTGACCTGTTTCGAAAATGAAGGAAGATGAAGAGACACCGGCCGCCCGAGATCTTTTCTTGAAAAGGACAAATGAATATTCTTGGAAGCCAAACATATATGGGAGAAAAAGGAAACTTCGAAGGAAAGGATCAAAGATCAAGAAAGCGCTCACCTCGAATCCTTCGAGTGTGGAGTAGAAGAAACTACCGAATGGATCTATCAGATTCAAAAGAGAGGCTTTTATGGGTCCGCCCAACAGCACGGCAGTAATCCGCTGCGACGCGGGGGATGGTCATTGGCACCGATCTGAATCAAAACGGTGCGCAGCGGATGGTCATTAGTAAAAATTGAATCAAACGGTGCGTTTTAATGTGCAGGAGGAGAGGATCCTATTACTGTAGTCTTTTTTAGTACTGCATGGGACAAACTAAAAAAATCAGTTTTTTATTTTATTTTGAATTTATGATAAATATATATCAACTGTTAATTAAAAAACAGTGAAATTTTTTATTTTAAAATTTTTTATTTTAAATTTATTATAAAATCCATCAAATTTTAGTTTTAAACAAATTAAATCATATTTTTATTTTGTTTTGATTATATAATATTTTAGTTATTAATTTTTTATAAAAAACAAACTGATAGTTTGCAACGCGATTACAAAATTTTAAATATAAAATTTGTAATTAATAAAATATATTAAATTTTAAGATAAAATTTATATATAATAAATAATGTTTATAAATTATATCATTTTAAATATCACAATAAAAATTTAAATATTTACAGAAATTAAGTATCATAAATTTATATAAATATTTAGTTTTTTGTTGTGATAATGAGAATTATATATTTTTTAAAAAAATTTATAGTTGACAGTTTTTCAAGATTAATAATTGATGAGTTTTTATAATAAATTTGAAATAAAAAATTGTTTTTGAATGTAATATTATAGTTGAAAAAATATAATACAAACAAAATAATAAATACACAAATCCAGGCGTATATACATACGTATATATATATATATATATTAATCTCATCGAAAAAACAGAAAACATATGTAATAGACAGGTCAACGAACCCCACTGGAAAGATTTAAAGGCCACGTGTTGGATCCTTATAGATACAAAGCCCAACAGTAATGGGCCTTATTTTTTTTTCTACAAGCTGTTCTTTTTATATTTTTATTTGTTTCCCCTATACTCTTAAATGGTACGTGAGATTTCGAACTTTATATATTTGGATCCCTTCAATTCTTGAGAAAATTTTAAAATACACAACTATAACTATAAATTAAGATAGATATATATAAATTTTGTACATTAATATTCAAATAAATCACCAATAAAATTTGAAAAACTTTAACGTGTTTATAGTCCTAAATATGACATCAAACGGATAAAATTTACAATTTTTAATAAAATAAAAAATTATATATTTTAATATATTCAAATCAAATTATTGTTAAATGGAAATGATTAATCATCTCTTTTTACCAAAAATAATTGATAGTTGGGGGGTTTAATGTACAAATAAAAAGTATGCGCATAAACTGAAACTTGTAAGAAAGTTTGGGTCCGATTGTCGTCTTCGAAAATCTTATGTGGGGTCCACGACAGCTTCCCTGCGTTACTCGTGAGTCGTGCTGTGTAGAAACCACTTGTGAAAAGAATATTCACATAAAAACAAAACAAAATAACAGAGCGTTTTAAAAATTATTCAGAAAGTAATTTTTCTATTTACCGTGAAACATATTTATTATTAAATATACCGATAAATTGACTCGTAAACCGAGAAAAAATAACGCATAGATCCTAATCTTTTAATTAGTTTCACATTTTTTTTATGAAGTCCAACTTCTTAAAATTATTTGTTGAAAATAGATTAGTCGTTTTCAAAGGAAAATTAAAGCCGAGCTAATTTCTTAGATATATAATAAGTAACTTGAATGTACATTTTATTATATTGGGGTTTCGGAAAGCATCTTTTTTTATAAAAAAAAAAATATATCAAATTTTATAAGTGATGGTTGAATACGATTCTGATATATAGTTGTTTTCTTTCTCCTTAATCCACTGTATTTCTTGCAAAAAAGTTTGATGGAATAAATAATTTGGAAAGATATCAAAACAATTTCACAAAATGCTTTTATGAAATAATTCACGGTCCTTTCATTTTGGATATAAAATAAAACTATACGGTGATATTATATCATCTGCTATATAAAAAATATATATATATATGTATAATGTAATAATTTTTAGAAAAAATCCCAAAAAAAACCCAGCTTTTATATTTTAACAAAAAAACGCTCAATTTTTTTATTTTATCAAATAAACATTAAACTTTTTAAATTTAAATTTGACAAAATAAAAATTTGACTCTTCTACGATTATCAAAATAAACAAAATGACTGACATGACATAAAAAAATGCAAACATGTCAGATTATTTTAGTTAGTTTTTTTACAATTGTAGAAAGTTCATATATTTTTTTTATCACTAAAAATTCGATGTGTCAAAATTAAAAAGTTAATGTTTTTTTCCCTAATTTTTATGACTGTATTCATGTCACCGTAAAACCAAAAAAAATGATCTTCTGTCTCCAAAAATATGTGTTTTGATTGGTACGACTACGAATCGCTAATTAAGACAAATTAAGTAACTTTATCTATTTTTTTCATTTTTAGTTAATAAAGAGTGGTAAGCCTTCAGTTCAACCTAGATATATACACGCATGACACATGCATATGCTGTATTTGTGTGCTGTGTGTGTACATAAATGTGTGTACGAGTGTCCATATTTATCTTTCCCCATATATCCATTCTATCTCTCTCTCTCTCTCTCTCTCTCTCTCTCTCTCCATCTCTCCATCTTGAACAGTCACACATTCAAGAGGTTTGATTTTTTTCCCTTCTCTATTATAATCTTGTTTTGGTTACACACACACTTATACAAGTGAATATATATATATGCACATATATGCTAACATGCATATACTTATATGCATTCATGTGTCTCTCTAGTGAAAACCCATCATAGATCAGGGTTTTAATCGTACAAAGTTTACACCTTTCAGGCTTTCTTTTACTTATTCTCGCATGTTATCAAAACAAAGGGTCTCTCCTGTTGTATTGCGTACTGTGTCAATCCACATGTTTTGCATATATATATATATATATATATGTATGTATGTGTTGCAGAAAATGGTGAGGATCATGAGATTGGGGAAGATGGTGGAGGGGTTGAAGACGAAGATAAAGGTGAGTTTGAGGATGACGAAGAAGGCATCGTATGATAAGATAGAGAAGAGTGAGAGCATGAGAATTGAATTGAGAAGCAGAAAGGCCCATAAGCTCATCCAGCAGACCCTCAAGATTGCTGACTCTCCCACCACCAGAACTCATGCTTTCTGATTTCACACACACATATATATACATACACCGTATACATACATATACGTACGGGTGTATGTATATTTTAGGTGTAGCTCTCGAACCTTGCATATGATATATTTCTGCTGCCAACACATACATTCACAAAAACCTATGTTTTGTTGTGTTATATAGTAATTAAACTTCAAAAACATTATCGCTTCTGTGCGTATTTTTAATTCATGGTTAGCGGTGTAAATTACCAAAATTCAAGTATTTTCGAATTTGATTATTTTTATTTTTGTAAAAATTATATTCAATAGATTTTTTTTATATCGATTCTTAATTTATATCATGTTTGATGCTTGTCTGAATTTCAAACAGAACAAACTTCCCTTTAAGAAAAAGAGGAGACCACATCTACATATGTGCGAGACTGCTTAAATATTGATATGATTCTAATAGTATATTTAGAGTTGAAATTATTATATTTTTACGGTTTGTATGCTCAAAATTGGAAACTGGACCTATACACACACACATACATATATATATGACCAATTCATATAGTTAAAGATACCCAATGAGTTCTAAACTTTATTTGTTTATGACTGAAGCTCATGAAATTTCCTAGTAATTGAAGTCTCATAGTGTGAACACAAAAGGTGCTCAGCTTTTGCAACATGAATAAGATTAGTAGCTTCAGATAATGGAAAATGTAATATAAAAATTAAATTAAATTTGAGGTTGGACAGAAGACAAAGGACAGAATCAAATCATGGAACAAAACATCCAACAATGTAATGACAAAACCCACAATGCATGAAGTGCAGAGGTTGGATTTATGGGCAAAACCAAAGCAATGTGTTTCACTTCTGTAAGATGACAAACACATAAATAAATAAAATAAAAATTGAGAAGAATTCAAAGAATGGCAAAGCTGTGAATAGAAACAACTTGCCTGGCAAATCAAATTAGGCACATGAAAGTGAACCTTCCTGAATCCTTACACACACCAAGACAATATATCTTATAAGGCCTCTATATTGCCTGATTCCAAGAGTTTCACTAAACACACAGTACAAGGGCATGCATGTGAAGGGGTTAGCTTCTAGAGTTGGCAGTTCACGACAACATGTTTTTCATAATGAACTGAATATGTCTCCAAGTTGTAACAACTCGCATATAGAATCTAGTTTCCGGAGCTATACTCAGATCCATCAAGGAATGCTTCCTAACTTTTCAGGGCCAACGAGATTGCGTTTGACAGCAACAAATGGGTTAAGAGATTCTTACAAATCTTGAATCTGTGGTACCTTCAAATACATGAAGAGATTCTCCAGCTTGGGGAAAAAATAAACCTGAAACCGGCAAAATTAATGTGTTTTGTTAATGTCGATTCTCAAACCAACAAGCAAGTGTAGATGAATTAGAGTTCAGCCTCAGGGGACAAAGCTGAAAAGCTCAAAGCACATAAGCTTATCGTCATACATTGAGAAGGCTCGTGAGGCTGAGTCATGAATGTTAGTAGCCACGGTTGTAGAGCATCTGCATATCACTGCAGTGAGTGCAAGCCCATGGTAATAGATAAGGGTCGAGGCAATAAGAGTGAATGCACCGAAAATTGCAAATGTGACATCTGATAAGAAGATCCTGGGGCTCCCTAGAGTAGCATCTGGTGCAAGCAGAAGCTAAAGGCTGCAGAAACTCAATGACAACCAAACAAAGAAGAAGAAGAAGATTGAAACCATGAGCATGAGCGTACATAAATTTAGAACTGGAACAAAAAGGAAGAATATTTTTTCCTTTGAAAGGATGGTTGAGAGAGAGTGACAGAGAGGTGAGTAGTGTACCAGAGCTCTGAAATTTGGTCTTTCTTGTTCTGGAAGGATTATAAGGTTGTCTGTTGAAGAGGGGCTCGGAACTGTTTGAGAATATATCTTCTGATCAGAACTTCCTGCATCTTCCACCTTCGTGATGGAGCTGAAACTGGCCTTGCACAATGGACAAGCTGAATCCTTTCCTCGTGAAACCTAATAGACCATATTTGTAACGAAAGATACTAGGGTTTTAGGGACTAAACATAAAGCAGTTAGTGAAACATATTCAAGAGAAATTGGAGAAGAGAAATACCAAACGATCTGCCCAATTCTGGATGCATGGATAACAAAATCGATGCCCACAAGGCAGGATGCCTCTGGTAGAACTGAACTCGGTCCAACATATAACACATGATACGTCTGATGAAGCAAGTGGGGTATTGGTCATTTCAGTGGCTTCTCTGTCTTCTTTTCTTGATTCTAGTTTGTTGAAGTTTTCTCCATTGTGATCGTGGGTTCTGTGCAGTTCATTTGATGCATTGGCATGAGAAGATCTTGGGCGCTTAAAAAGAGATGAATGACTCCAATTCTCAGTCTCTTCTATTTCATCCAAGTCCCAATTTGTAGTTTCAGAATGTCCAGCACATTGACGAGTTGATGTTTCTACTGCAACACAGTCATTCTCATCTTCACTATGCGGTTGTCTAGGAGCCCGACCGTTGTTTCTTTGATTGTCTAGTATCTCATTTCTGTTTATATCAGACTCCTGGTCGGATTCGATGTCCACAATAGTTCTGAAAGAATGTTTCTTTGTTAGCCTTTGTCCTTTCCTTGAACATTCACCCAAACCAGTGTTTTCTTTGTCTTCAGAAAGGTTATTCCGCTTTTTCCTAGTTGATCGCCGAGATTGTAAGTTTGACTCTATATTTTTCTGAAGAAGAGGAGAAACCAATCGACACAAAGGGTCAATAAAATTCAACCTACCATATGCATACTAACACTATGGATGCACAAAAGCCAAAGATCAGTCCTATATATAATTAAAACATTTTCATTTGTGCTTATACTAGAGCTTCTCTCAACACTGAAGTGATCATCTTGATTGCTAGCTACTTCGTTTACAGAGAACAAATCTGCTCAGGATGTGTATTTCCAAACCAAAATTAGTGCAGATATTATGATCTGTTGCCGGGAAAACCACAGACAAGATTCCTACTGTTACTGAATCTAATGAAAACAAGTTTTTGACAAACACAGATTACCGGTTCTATCAACTTTAGGATTCAAAATTGTAGTTGAACATAAGCACCCAAATCATAAGAGTAAAAATTACCTCTTTCAACAAGATAGAATCTGTCCAAGCGGAAAAGTCAGAAGCGCCACCTCCCCAGGTTTCTTCACAATTGCCAAAGAATTTATCAGAAATCTCAACAGGCTTCTTCAATTTCTTAGTGACCTCACCCTCTCCAGAAACAGCAGGGACTTCAATCGTCAAAAGTCCCACCTCTGCCCCGCTGAAAAAAAAAAATACTCCTAAATGTAATTAGTCATTCTTGAAATTTAAGGACACTGCATAACTATCTTATGCATTTTGAAGATGAGGATCAAATACTGAAAATCATGCCTTTTCGACATATAGGGTGTCTCAGGAACTCGCTTCCCTTGCTTTATGCATTCTTCCACCCATTGATGGTTTACAATAATGGTATCAAACTTCTTGGCAAGATTATACTTCTTGCCTTCAAACTCCCAACATACCTACAACACCAATGAAACATCAGGGGACAGTATCATTTCACAGAGGCAGCAAATTCGATGAAAGGCTAAGAACACAGAACAGTTGAAAACGAACCAAATGTGTGATAGATCTTGACATTGCCCCAACATAACTCGCTCCCGAATGGGAGATAAGCTTGATGAGCTTGAATCTCTCTGAACCATGATAACCACTAACAGTAGCGACCACGTTCTCCATTCCTTCAATGGGATGAGCCATAGAATCTGAAAATCGAAACCCTAATCCAACATCATTTCAATCGCCGGAAAAGAACTCAAATCCAGCCCTTTTTGCCATTCGAGAAAATATTAACCAAAGCAGACGTTCGATGATTGCTTGTAACCATGAGAAACCATAAACTGAGAGATACAGGGAGAAAAACATGAGCGGAGAGAAATCTACGAAACAGAAATACCACGAATTCTGTAGATTTACGCCGCGAAATCCATTAAACTCATCAAATGAAATCGAACAAATCTACGAAACAAAAACCCTAACATCACTAAGGATAACACAAACCCCTGAGAATCCGATGGAATGCGGCGGCGATGACTGATGCTTTGCCGAAAAATGAGGAGTTTTGAAATTTGGTTTCCCGCGAGAGCAATTGTCCCGAGAGGGAGAGGGAGAGGGAGAGACCGTGGGCTTCAATTCTGCATCGTGTGTGGAAATGGGCTCGATGAAATATATTAGGAGAATGTCCTGCAATAATTTTTAAAAATTAATAAAATTATCCACTTACAATTCGAAAATTCAATTTTACTCAATATTATGATTAGATTTTAATTTAGGATTTAGTTTAAGACATTTTTTGTATTTTACAAATTAGAAAATGATAGCTTTCAAACAATTTTCAAAAGTTCTGTTCAACTGAGGCAATTTTCATAAGGTCATAGATAGCCTTACACCCATACGTGATTCTATCTCTCTATATATATATATATATATATATATCATTTTTTCAGAATGTAAAATGTAAAATAGACAGAACAGTGGCAAATGGATCCCCATATTTTATTCTTCTTTTCTTTTTCTTTTCTTTTCTTCCACTGTTCCACATCAAACGTTACTCTTTTTTAACGGTCAGCGTCTGTGCCCAGCATGTCCGTACTGCAACACTCCGTACGTAAAGACGTGGTCTGATGGGTCAGTGACTTCAGGGCGGTTCATCTGCGACCAGGGTTTCCACCTCCTCGAGCTTGAGTCTCATAGGCGTGTGCATAAGCCGGGTTACTGCCTGGTCCAGCTGTGAATGACCCACCCCCTGGCCCAGCAGCAGCTAACCTCGATGCTGGATCGTGACCAGGCCATACTCTTTGTGGCTCATAAGAAGCAGGGCCTCTCGAGAAGTCATAACCGGGTCCCGCATAGGAGGCTGGACCTCCTGGTCCAGGGACATTATGGGCAGCTGCTGAAGTAGGGATATGTCCCTGTAATGGAAAACCTGATGAGTAATCCATGTTTCATATGCACAGCAACATGTTTAATGTTCAAGTGTTTCACTCCTATTCCAAGCAAAAGCACTAAATCTTAAGTGTTCTCTGAACTAATTGGGATTTGTTGGAGATTTTGAAAACTCACACCAAAGATGTCCTTCCATGTACACAATCCAGTTTCATAATGGATATAAGTCGTGCATCAAACAAAACGAAAACAATTTCCGGAATATAACAGATATAAAGGACTATATGCTAAATCGAATGCATGTTTGCACCTTAGCAATACATACTTACATAGTCAGTAACTAGTTTGGATCAAAACTGAAAAAATATATCGAAACTAACAAACCTGGGAACCATAAGAATCTTCATAGAAACTGTGCCCACCCTGATACCCGGAAGCCTCATCAGATCTCCTCATCGAGCTACCATAAGGACCACCTTCATTTTGATTGGGGAATAAAGCTCTAAGATAGTAGAAAAGTTTATCAAAGAATGAAGAAAGAAAGACAGAAAATAAAGGGGTATAGTTGAATACCAACTCTTCTTTCTGCACTAGCACTGTTCATCAGCTGTGCTTGGAGTTTTTCAACCTCCCTAGCCATGGTCGCACACTCGTTTTCCATCGTTTGAAGTGACTTGAGATGGTCATTATAATATTTCTTCTCATGGTCATATGTTGCCCTGCAGAATTAGCAAATAGAAGTAAATTCCACAATCACAACAGGAAAGTAAAGGGAGGTTAACAGACTAATAACTGTAAAATAGTGCTTCATAAGAATACAGTACTGCCAGGAATCCTGGAGAACCACATTCCCAATTTCTGTATCCTACTTACAGCTGATTTTCTATTCAATTTTCCATGTGTTAATAACTATAAATGACTTAGTACACTCACCTGCAGTGCTGATACTCTTGTCTTAAGTTCTCGAGTTCGGACATAAGAGCTGGTATTTGCTGCACATCTACACGAGCTTTCTGAAGGTTCTGAGTCAACTGATGCACTTTGGACATAAGGTCTTCTCTTGCCACAACCAGGTTCTGCGCCTCTGCATGTGCTTGTTGCAGTTCTAACCTAACAGCCTCAGCCTTCTGAAGCTCAGCCTCCATCTTTGCAACTTTTCCCGCAAGACCCCTCATTCGCTGCTCTCTCTCTGACCTCATCGATTCTATCTGCTCATGCCGCATTTGCAATTCATGCTGTGAGGCCACTAGTTCTTGCCGTAACGTACCATGGGTGGCAGCAAGTCTCTGGTTCTCTATTGCAAGTTTATGCATCTCAGCGTGTTGCACAGCAATTTTCTGTTCCATGACCTCAGGTGGCGACAACATATTGAAAGGATGAAATGCGCCATGCTGAGGAGATGGCATACTTGGTCCTGGAGGAGGGCGCCTCATATGAGGTGGCAGAATTCTCCCGTTGCTTCCCATCCCAGACCCTGATTATCAACTAAGAGTCTACAAGAAAGAAAAAAAACTGCAAGTTGACACAATCACACGAGCTGGGAATCAATATAAACATGCACCAAATTCAAGGCAAGCTATTCATAGAGCAAACACCTATCGACCACCACCAGATAATCATGATTCAGACGGTCATAAACTGAAACTTTCACATCAATGATCTAGGTGGAAGAAACAACTAAGGAGGCTATCAAGAAGAAGATATGTAAAAACATAAAGGGTCTTCCATTTACCGAAAGGGTAATCTAAAGTTCAAATCTGGACACTAATCTCGGACTCTCTTGAACAACTAAGCAGGCCATCAAGAAGAAAATATGTAGAAACATAAAGGGTGTTCCATTTACCAAAAGGGTAATCTAAAGTTCAAATTTGGACACTAATCTCGGACTCTTTTGAACACCAAAATGCCAAAACTCGTGTTCGAGATCGGACTATTGCGAGCAGACAGCAATATCCCTAACCGTCCCAAAATCCCGATCTGGGGCATTCGCGTTGTGTTAAAATATTAGTCTTAATTCCGAAAAATGTATCGCGATTCCACTTTACAATACCACATCAAATATATAATCAAATATAGCTGCCGAATACTAGAATAGCTACGGAAACCCTAACCCTAGATCCAGAGAAGAGATTTGGCATCCATAGTTTCACAACCATATAGCGAAGAAAATCGACGAAACACGAAGCAGACGGGAGCGGAGGAGATGGATGAAGAGGACGATGGAGAGAGAGAAGAAACTTACGTCGGGACTTCGGCGGCGCTACGGCGGAGGAGGAGAGAGACTTGGAAAAAAGTTTTTTTTTTCTTTCCCCTGTGGTCAGCATAGGAATAGCAAAGGAATTTTCGAGTTTTATTTTATGAATGTGTTACTTTTGGTTTTATAGTAAGTAGTAACCATTTCTCGTATGCATGGCATTTTTAATTATTTTATTACTCATATCTCAGACTACTATATAATAAATATAATAAATATGTGTGAGTCAAAATATCAATTTGCTAATGTAATACCAAATTCTTATTATAGTGTTTTCTACCGTAAATAATAATAATAATAATAATAATAAATACGCTATATAAACGAACTCAACTAGTTACCAACTCACCCATATATATATATATATATATATATATATATATATATATATTGTGTATATAGATATACACAGCAGGCAACAGTCCTATAGTATTTAACATAAAATATAATATCAAGCTGTAAGTAAAACACCTTAAAAATGTAAAAATGTAAAAATGTAAATAAAAAAAAGGCATAATAAAGTATCCCATGAAGCTAAAAAAAACATGAACGGTGTCCCCAAATGTATTCAGAAGAGTAGAGATTACAGAATACAAAAAAGAAAAAAGAGGAAACGGGTTTTAATTATTATTATTATTATTATAGGGAGGATTATTCTTCCAATCATTGATCCTCAAATTCGTGGATATGATCTAAGAGATAGTTGGCCGCCAGTTCTTCGTTTTTGTTGCACGCGAAGAACACCTCCAGCACTAATGCTCGGTCGAAGCCCATCGCTTCAAGCTGCAACCCACCACCAACAATTTCATTACAACAACACAAGTGTGAACTTTCTTCTTAGCAATGAACTGTTTCATATTATGTCCAAACCATTCGACAGACGAGCAAAAGCACCAATGGACCATTTTGATCATTATTTCTTTCTCTATATTCAGTCATGTCTGCTCTGGAGCAGGAGGCATCTAACTAGTAGTTCAGGAAACAACACAAGATCGATTCATTGTGTTAGAGGTGACTGACTGACCCGTTCGATAGCTTCACGCTCTTCGGGTGTAACGGTCACAGCTTGCGGCATTGCTGAACCCAACTGGCCAAGAAGATTCCTGGAGGCAACCATAGAGGAGGGGAAAGATCACACTGCATTCATCGTTGACAAAAAAAAAACATGACGAACAATTAAGTTCAAACAAGGCAGAAGAATTAACTCACTCCTCTCCCTCCGCCGGTTCATTTATCAAGTTTAAGAAGTCAGCCTGATGGTCTTGAATCAGCCGCATAAGCTGCGGGTTTTGTTTACCGAGCTCCTGAAGCATGGGCTGAAGAAGAGGAAAGATAAAGAGTTCTTGAAACCTAATATGGCCAGATATGTAGTCCACCAAGAAAATGCAATAGAGACAAAAGAACCTACCTGTAGAATTTGCGGGTTGGCTTGTACCATAGCTCGCAAGGCTTGGAACTGAAAAAGAAGCAAGAGTGCCATAACAACAAACTCACAAGGAAAGAAAGAGGGCTTTTTCATACACTGAGAATACAATGAAGGGTTTTTCCTACCTGTTGGCTGTTACGGAGGAAATCAAGATTACCGGCACCAGCATCTGCGCCAGCGGTAGGCAAGCCCTGGTGCAGATACATACAGAGTTCAAAACATAAAAACAAGTCTGAAATAGAGAGCAAGCAAAAGATGAAAATAGGTTAGCCCTGGGCTTTTTCTGCGAGGAAAAAACCCTACCTGGGGAAACAGATTTAACGGATTGGCATTTGGACCACCAGCTGGTGCTGCTGGTGCTGCTGGCGCTGGTTGTTGAGCCTGTGCTTGGGGATTTGTGGTCTGTCCACCGCTAGGTGGAGCTTGAGCGACTTGTGGGACTTCAGCCTGAGCAGGAATTCCCTGAAAAGGTATCACAGTGAGACCTAAAATATACTACGCACAATAAAGAACACAGCAATTGATAGTGTCTTGCTTTTACAGCAACAGAAGCCAAAGAAGCTGGCTAAATACTTGGTAGTAGAAAAGAGAGAGAATTAAGAGGGGAAAATGATGTGTACCGAGTATAGATATTCAACAGCTCTTTCAGGATTGTTATAGGCAGCCCGTAGAGCTCGGACAACCGTATCACGGTCCCAACTACCTCCACCCATGTCAAGAATCTGCTGAATGGTAGACTCTAAATTACTTCCAGCTACCAGGTTTGACGCTGCTTGACCATAAACATCTGTTTGAGCTCTGCCTCAACACACAAAGAGATCAAAACTTATTTGACCAAGCATGAAACACCAGCTCCATCAAGAAAAGATGACAATTGAAAATGGTATCTAGAGCTTGAGAGAGGTGCTCACAGAACAGGAGCAGCAGCAGTTGCAGTTGCAGTTGCAGTTGCAGTTGCAGGTCCACTTGTAGGCTCTGGACTGTAAAGATCAAAGCAAAAGTTTGAGTACCATAAGATAAAGATCAAGTCTTAATTCATACAAACAAAAGGGAACCAACAATTTCTCCACTAAAATTCAGGCTAAATAATGTAAGAGAAAAGTCTAGTAGTTACACTGCCACAGTTGGAGCGGAAACCCGAGGCGCAGCTGGTGCCTGTGAAGGCTAAGCCAAAGAATCCCAACAGTTCCATTAGACAAACCAAGACTGATATATCATTAGATGCATTATGTCTTATCTCAAAGTCCTTTTGCAAATTAAAAATCATTAAACTGAATAAACCATAGCAGAGCACATATACACTGTAATCACCTGGCTAGCACTAGCAGGTGGTGCAGACGCAGTTGAAGTCCCACTTGAAGAAACCTTGCTCTATAGTTAAACAGATAAAAATTCAAGGGAATACAGGTTTAGAACACTATACTGAACTGCAGGTTCTGAAGAGAGTCGAGAGGTAAAGAACTTCCAAGTCAACTCCCACCTTGGACAACATGATGACAATAAAACCGTTCTCAGAAATTTTGTTCTCTTCCAATGTGGTTTCATCACTGAGAACCTTTCCCTGGTGAATCAGCATCTGTTGAGCGGCAGGGTAAACATTTGCGCCCTGGACCGTTTCTATAGTCTTCTTAACATCAGTGACCTAAAATCCAATAACGGATAGAAAGACTTCAACAATTTATCCACTCATATTAACGGCCTAACCATCTTAAACGGCTTAAAAAGCTTTATTGATGTTGATGTTTTCCTCAAAAGTTACCCATTCGGGAACATTCTTAATCCACGACCCACCAAGAATCGATGAGTTTAGTGCTAATGCATTCACAGAGAGAAACAATTAACATTTTCAGCTTACGGGATTTTATCCATAAGTTCCTCACAGCATAGTTCTTTTCCAAGTGAAATTAAAAGTATAGGACTGACTAACAGAGGGAATCTATGACAAAAACAAATGAAAACCAGCATGCCCGGAGCACGAATACTCAAAACTATGCTCATACAACTTCACATTCATATGTAGTCTCCGATACGGTGTTCATGTATAGCGAATGAGACACAAAATCATCTAACGCGAATAAGGAATAGAAAAGAGAGCATGCCTCTTAAACCATCTCACCGGGGGCTTTCCCCTATAATTCTTATATTAAAATCTTCGTTAGATAGTGAATTGAATTCATTGGTAGATGATGAATGCATATTATGCGTATCAAACCCTAATTCCAACCACACGCAAAGCAATCCCAAGAAAAATTAAGTAAAGCAAAACCAAAACCCAGAATTTTAAATTAGAGATTCTAACGAGAAAACCCTAATTCCTAAAAAATTCAATCCTCGAAGACCAGATTAGACCACAAACTAAATGAATTACAAACCTGCTACGGAACCGAATCAGACCTAGCACATATTTTTCCCGTATTAACAATAAAACTAAAAATCCAGGTATCACTGTACCTTATCGTCTGGTTTTACTTCGATCTCGAAGCTCGTCCCTTTGAGGGTCTTCACGAAAATCTTCATCTCTGAAGGAAACTTGCGGAGAGAGAAACGTGGAGAGAGAGAAGGGAAGAGCAAGGGCACTTTTGGGGCCTGTTCACTTTATATACTGACGCTGATACAAGGTTTTGATCACACACAGCACAGCACAGATTTAGCGTTACTTGCATCCAACGACATCGCATGACACGTGGAAATTAAGATATGAGGCGAGTTATCAACCGTTAGATTTATAAGGAGCATGGTGATGAAGTGGGCTTGAATACAGTTGATTATATGAGCTGTAAAAATTGTTAAAACGTGTTTTTTTCCTTCCGTGAAGTATTATGCAATTAAAAATTGTTTTAGTTGCATATTACATGCATTGTATATATTAAGAGACATAATTACCTGTTTTTTGTTACGTAATTTTTACTTTTTAGTGATTCTATGCATTTTAATCGTTTTTTCACTAATACCATCTAAAATTATCAATAAATTTCATGATGAAACGAATAATTAATTGGACATAAAACATATGTATTAATCTGGAGAACCATAGATTGAAAATGCTCGATTCTTCCCCGTGGGCCATTACTTTAACCCACCTAATTAAATGAAAATTAATCCGTAAAAAATATATAATTCATTAGAACCAGTTTACGAGAATAGATAATTCAATGGGCTTTTTATATATTTTCTACGTGGCTGCTGTAATGGGCTTACAATTTTCTTGATGAGCCCAATTTTCTGAGACTTAGATGGGCTACTTTGGGCTGGGTTGTGGGACAAATCTCATTCCGTACCTTCAAATGCATATTAGCTTCAAATTTTTTTTTAATCTAAATTGCCTGGTTTGCAACTAACCGAATACGAATTTTCCATTTGTACCAAGAACCGGATTAAACCGAACAACCAACTTTAAACCAAAACATACGGCCAAATGATGTTCATGGCCAAATCGGCATGCCTCTTCTTTTTTTTTCTTCTAAAGAGCTAAAAAGATGTAATCACATTTAGGGGTGGACTCGAGTTGGATACCCTGATTTTTTTTGTATATGGGTTTTGTCTTCGTCTTCACAAGTTTTGAAAAAACATTATCTCGTTTTCATTTTTGTAAAGTCTAGGTATCCATGATTTGGGTACCAGTCATTGAATTCGATTACCCGAGAATACTCGAACGCGTACAAATATTTAGAAAATGTTGATTTTTGTTGACTTTATGGATATTTTAATATTTAATTTTAAAATATATTTAGCAATTATTGTAAATATATTAAAATATACAGGGTATAAATCGTCATTTCATTCATATGCGGGTATTCGAGGATATCCATCACCGTTCAAACAAACTGGAACCCGTAATCCAGATTTTTGGTCTCATCAAACCCGTTTCGTCTTTGTTATATATCGAGTATCCGTATTCCGAATACTCGTGAAGTCGGATACCTGAAAATGAGTAGATTTCAAATAAACGTCTACCCCCACCACACTAAATTAATAGTAGGGGTCGCCACTGAAACCTATGTGAACTAACATATTTAAATTGAATCCAATATAAAAAGCCTAATGATATTACTAAAACAAACATAAAACGGCATTTTTTTAGGAATTAGGATTTGTAATTCATTTTATTAAAGCAAATTGCTAAAAATGGAAACAAATACACATTAGAACCTGCGGCAACATGGAAAATTACGAATCAAATCCATATCTCCATGAAATATGCCCTGAAAATGTAAGTATTCAATACTTTTTGGTAAATCTATTGACTAGAAACTGGCCTTCCTTTCCATGGTCGGGTTCATTTTTTTTTAATAGTAGAAAACTTATTTTTGAAGATTTTTTATTTTTATTATTTTTTATTCAGTACAGTTAAAATTTATTTTTTTGGGTTTAAAGAAATTATAACCATTCGTTTATATATCAGATTCGATTATATATCAGATTCGATTCAATTACTTCTATATTTTATTTGATTCGACCACACTCCAGAGTGAACGTTTTGAGCAAACGCACCTCATAATTTTGGTAATAAATTTTTATTTCCAAAATATTTTGAAAATGATATATTCAAAAAATAAAACTGATTTTCTGGTGCTATATTACACATTTACATTTCTGGTGTTATATTACACATTGATAGGAATTTGTTACATAGGACTCCATTACACATTCTTATTTTTTGAACATGCAAACTATAATTTTACTCTTTATCTATTATAAAAATGGAGTAAAAAAAAAGATTTTTGGATTTGGTGTTGACTTCCCAACAAGCAAACGAAGGAAAAAAAAAATTTATTTGAAAATGAAGTAAAAGGTGTCATTGGGTTCCAAAGCTTCCGGTCCGTGACAATGCAGATTTGTCTGTCAGACAACGACCCACGTCTCCTTCGACCACTTATTATTATTATTATTATTATTATTAGAAAAAATAATAAAAAACCATACAGATTATATCAAATGTGTAAAATTAGTACATGAATTTTTAATTTGATAAAATCTCACACTCGATTTCAAATTTTTTTGATTTCCAACACAGATTGTTTTGAAATTTTCAATTACCACTATAAAAGAATTGACCATGCCACGTCAGCGTCTGATGGTTGATGTGTCACCACTCATCAAAAAATATGCCACATCAGATGATACTGACACATCAACAATTAGGATTATTGAAATCGGTTCATTTAATTTAAGTGAAAACCGATTTTTTTTAAAAAAAATTGGGAGTTATCAGAATCACATTCAGAACCTCTCCTCTCCTCTCCTCTCCTCTCCCGGAAGCGGCGGCGTCTGGCCTCAAGAGCATCGAGAAGCTGATCTGTCTCATGTCGCCGGAGAATATCGATTCCAGTCAACCCTCCTCTTCTTCTGATCTCGATGCCGCCTGCAAAACGACAGCCGATGTCGCGTTTCCAATTTCAAGAGAGTCACCTCTCTCCTGGGTCGGACCCGAACTGGTCACGCCTGTTTCAGATGCTCGCCCGTTCAAAAACCGGAGTCCGAATTGGTGTTGTTTGACGCTCCGCCGCCGCTAGAGATCTTGTCGGAGTCTCTGTACGAAAAGAAAGGTTCGTTTTTGTCGGCCAAAACGATTGATTTCTCCTCTGTCCTCTGTGACAACTGAATCAGGTCACAAGCAACCCCGTCCCTCCGAAACGGCTCCGTTTAGGATTCAAAGCTCGTCTTCCTCGTTCAAGCCTTTGTTTTCGTCGGTCTCTACGAAGAGGAAATGCAACTCCGAGAATCTTGTCGCCGGAAAATGCGCTTCCGCTTCCTCCGGTCGTTGCCACTGCTCCAAGAAAAGTTACAAACCAACCAATAAATCTCTCCCCTTTTGGATTAAAATTCATGGGTTTTTACTTTTATTAATAAATAAAGAAAGGTTCCCATCGGTTCTTCTTCTTTCCTCGTCTTGTCCTTTGCCAGAAAGTTGAAACAGAAGAGAAGAGAGTGGTTAGGGTTCCGCCAATCAGCGCGAAGATGTCCGACATTCCACCGGACGATTACTCATGGAGAAAATACGGACAAAAGCCCATCAAATTAACCGGTTTGATTAAATGAACCGATTTCAATAATCCGAATTGCTGATGTGTCAGATTATGTGTCATGCACGTGGTATATTTTTCGATAAGTGGTGACACATCAGCCATAAGACGCTAACCTGGCACGGTCAATTTTCTTTATGGTGGTAATTGGAAATTTTTAAAACAATATGTGTTGGATATCGGAAAAATTTGAAATCGAGTGTGGGATTTTATAAAATTAAAAATTTATGTACTAATTTTACACATTTGATATAATATGCTTGGATTTTTGCCATTTTCCCTTATTATTATTATTTAAGAAAATCGAAAGCAACATTCACATTGGTACGAATTCCTACAACATTCAGGTAATCTCATTTTACAAATGGACGAAGTAAAGAATTTCAATTCAATGTTTTTTTTTATAATCCGGAAGTTCACCGAGCCTTTGGCCCAACTACGTCTCTCAGAGTACCGGGGTAATCCATGTGAAAACCCCTCTCCAACCAGGAATCGAACCGCCGACCTCTGAGTGTTTTGTACCCAACTGCTGACCACTCGCCCATAAGTTGTTGGGTATTTCAATTCAATGTTATTATGGTCATCATCCCATTGTTTTTTTATTGACCAAAAAACATGTTAAACGGTGTTTAACCATGAACGGATATCTTTAACCTTTGAACATTCATACTAATCTTCGTTCGTTTTTAATTCAGTATACAAAAGTGGTTATTTAGATTCGGGTTTTTTTAGTGTTTCATAATTAGGTTCGAATTCCTTCACGTGAATACCTGCTGTCACACCACACGATCACCTAACCATAATATACAGTGACCATTACAGAACCATGATGAAGTTACAAGATTTGTCACTTCTTATACCGTGTATATATATATATATGTATATATGTATGTTTTCATGTATTTTATGACAAAGTTGTGGGCATAAGAAAGGGAATATCCCGTCTTCTATATTTAAGTTATCATTCTAGAAATGGAAGGTTTCTTGATATTGATTATAATCATGAGCTATGGAAACCAAGGACGATGAACTAGATCAAAGCTGGATTCGTCAAAGAACGGAAACCGACCCTCGAAGCTTTGGTCGGGTTTCAATGTTCTTCGAGTTCCAAAAACCACTGTTCATGGCCCCAAATCCAATGCCCTTTATAAGATTTATAGCCTTTAGATCAATGAAATCACTAAAGGTTTCATCTTTCCTTGAAATTTGTTTTCCTTTCCTCGAGATTTTCTTCCACACGCAAATTGGCCCTTTTGTCAGTTTCTTTTCTTCTCTGCGCATGCTTCTCTCTCTTCCCCCCTCCCTTCTGATAAGAACAAAAGCTGTAACAATCTCTCTCGAGCCACTTTCACTGCCAGATAAACCACTGTAATCTGTAAAGTCTCATTGTACTCAAAAGATTACCCTCTCACCCTCTCTCTCTCTCTCTCTCTCTCTCTCTCTCCGTGTCATTTCACCAAGCAAAGCATCATCTTTCTTCGTCTCGTTTCGCTTTTAACCTGAATATCTCCCTTTTTACCCGATGAAACAATTTGATTGACGTGTAAAAGATACAAAACTTTTTCCTTATTGTTTCCTCCTCCACTGTTTGATTCTTTTGCCATTCACAGTTCATCTTCTTCCACTGTACCTTTGTCCGTTTGCTGCTGCTACTTTTTACCCATTTCCTGTAACTTTGATTGCCGACGATGCATTTTTCCCTCTTCGCTCACAGAGATTCCTCACGAGGGGAATTACAGAGCCAAATCAGAAAGTAGCATTATTTAGTTCTGCTGTCGGGATTTCGAGGAAGGAGGAGGGGGTTCCTTTTGTTTTTGGTTCCCATGGTTATTTTACATCTGGGATAATGGAAATTTCAGATTTTGGGTTTTGTTGAACAACAGAACCATTGCTGGTTTTTGGGTGAAACGTCTAAACAATTTTGAATCTGGTGATGGGTTTCTTTCTTAATCTGAGATTTTGAGGTGATGGGTTCTTTTTCCTCTAAAAGACGAGATTTTCTTACACAATTCTTCAGAGTTTCGTTGATTTTCCCTGGAAAGATGAAATTTGCGCCAATGGGTCTGTGAGGGAAAGCTAAAAAGAGAAACTTTGTCTGTGCTTCACTGAAGTTTTTGTGTGCTTCGATTCATAGCGTCCACATAATGGCGGGGGAGGGAATAATGGAGACGGCGGATAAAACGGCGCCGTCTGTGGCCATAACGGAGAAAAGGGAAGCAACCCCGTCCCTCCGAAACGGCTCCGG